CTGCCAGGACCCCGAGCTCCTGAGGACACCCATGGCTGAGCTCAGAGACCCTGTGCCAGGCTGCTCCCATGGGGCACTCTGCACTAACCACCACACCTGAGCCTGCAAACCCTCCCAGATACCTTCCAAGGTATTAAACATAAACAATGGTGGCCTTGGAAACACTTATAAGGAATTACAACTTTTTGTTTTTTTTAATTTGAAGTCTCTTTTGTTATCTATGGTTTGTTTTCTCACGCCTACGCATAAGCTACAAACTCTTTCATAAACACTTGGAAAAACTAAAAATGTCCTTGGATGTAGACTGTGGACTAGGAGTGGTCACTGTTCCTTTTGAATGCTGCTTTACATAACATTAAAATAAAATGTCACTAAAGAGAAAAGTGCAACGTTTCGTTGTTCAGTGGAAACACTTTGGATGATGCTAAAATAAAACCTCTAGTGGCATGTGCAGCATTTAGTTCAGTTGTTTAGCAATACCACCTTTTTGATTTGTAAAGCTTCTACAATACCTAAAATTAGCTAAGAGAAGAAAGTTTAAAAAGTTTTTTCTAACTAGCTAAAACCACCTGCCGTAGCTTGAATCAAGGAAAAGTTCCTAAGAACAACCTTCTTTTGAGATAACACATTTTTGAATTACTACACTGTAATTTTTGCACACTGCATCAGGCAATGGCTACTGCAACTTCTCACAACATTCCCAGCTTCCTAATAAACATGTGCATGAAGCAGAACAGGGCATACAACTTATAATTCTTTGGCTGTGCCTGGTAACATAAACAGGTCTGATACCATCAGAGGAAGAATTGAGGAATTAAACCCTCCAAAAGACTGATGTAAAGGATTGGACATGCTAAAAGAGATGGTGAAAAGAGGCTGCTAAGAAATGGAACAACATGCAGGAGAGAAGCAATAGATCCACAAATGGAAATAAACATAACCATGAGAAAATGCTTTATCAACATAAGAGCCACAATGGAGCTGTGAATTTCAAAATGAGCGAAAACTGTTTTGAAGAAAAAAAACCCTGCTCGCTCGGTAGGTAGGACTTCAAAGACTTTACTGCAACAGACAGAAATGAACAATACAAAAACTACAAAAGAAGAGAGACAAAAAAAATCCTACTAAGACCAAGATCAACTATAACCCTGTTAACCCTTTGATGCCAATGCTGTGGAACCATCTCAGTGGTTACAGACAAGAAATATTGCAGCAGCAGAGCAGTGGCTGCCTCCATTCAGCTCCCTTGCTGCTCTGCACCCTTGCATCCCTCGCTGTGCCTCTGCAGCACCTGGGGGACCCTGCAGCTCCCCTGCTCAGCCCTTCCCACCCTGCTCCCAGCCCCAGCCAGGGAATGCACAACTCCTGTGTCAGAGAGAAGCCACACAACCACTGTGCCCTGGGTGGAAAGCACACTAGGTATTGTATTTCTAATTGCTGACATTCGGAAATAATACATTCAAAAGAGAGGCATGCAATAGGTAATTAATTACATGTCATAGTTGTTCAAGGGTAGAAGATGCAGCTATTGTATGCAATTCCAGTTTTCTAAGGTGAAAAACAGGTACAAAATAAAATTTTTAACTAGATTAAAGGAAAACAACATGGAAAGCTATGGTTTCATGCAAAATACACTGCAGTTTTCTTGTGTCTTGGTTCTGAAACATTGACATGAGGACGATCTTTGGCTTTAGCAGAAGAGAACTAGCTAATAATTTTCTTCTTAAAAATTTGAAAATAATTCTGAATCCTGAGAGAATACACAGTGCCATTGGTCTGCAGTAAGATAGGGTGGAGAAATGAAGTTTAAATAGTGCTGGAGAAGCTGAAAAACTAACTGACTGCCATGAAAACCTATACATGGAAAAAGAGATTTAGGCAAAAAAAGATTGAAGTCTAATGCTATAAGGAAACAGAAATAAAATTTTCATGCAATTTACTTTTTGATATCTTTGCACGCAGATTTATTTTCTTTTGTTGGCTGTTTTCCCAGCCAACAAAAGAAAAGACAGAAGACTTCCAGACAGAAGGCTTCAGAAACTTTTTACTGAGGAAATATTTGTCATGATTCATACACTTATAAATGCCTATTTCAATGCTCTTTTTCAAATAATTTTGGTAAGAATTGAAAAAGCGTGTATTGTTTTGCTCCAGTATATAGCAAACTGAAAAAGCCAAATTCTGTTTACAGCAGAACCAGATTTTCTATTATTTTAGACAGTCATTTTCACAGAAAAACCTTTACATGTCATTACTAATGACATTACAACCCCCCCAGCTGCCCCCAAGACCTAGCTGTTTTCTAGCAGACATTATTTGACATCTTGGTTTGCAATCTCAGAAAAAAGCCAAGAGAACAGAAAGTGTCCTGTCAGAAAACAAGGGCTCCAGAAGCTGGTAAATATATCACATTTCTATGGCGACGTGATCGAAATCAGAATGTTTGAATCCAGAGTTGCCTGCTTAGTGATTAATTGCAGATGTCAATACCAAGAGGTACCTGCAAGGCAATTAGCACTGTACTTGCCTAAATGTCACCACACTGTAAATACAGAATGGAAATAAATAGACAGATTGGCCTGGTGCATGTTGTTTGGATTTGGAGCAGGAATCTTGGAAATGTGGTTCTTAACTGAGCCAGATTTTTATTCTGTGCTGCTGATATGCTACAAAAGAGTTCTCTCTTTCTTTTTTCCTGGTGTGCTGGGAGGTTAGTGCCACCCAACTCTCAAAATGCCACTACTAACCAAAGCCATCATCACACTGATGAATCCCAGCAAAACGCAAAAACAAACAAGAAGGAATCTATACAAATTTCTGCAAATGCTGAGGCTGAGATAGAATTTTGTTTGCCATTGAAACCTAAATTGATAAATTCCATGTTATGCTTTACAGTGGCTGTTTACTTGGATATTTCTTTTCTGTCCTGCCTGCTCCCAGTTTAGAACCATGGGAACAACTGCAAAGGGAATCACAGCTACAGGCTGAGAGTTAGGGAGCAGACAGAGGCTGATGCCACTGCTGTGCAGGACTAAATATAAATTACCATTGTATCTGTCAGATTGATATTTCATAGTTTAACTCCTATAAAAGGGAAACAATAACACCGAACACCCTCCTCCACCCCTTTTGGGGATTTAGTCATGTTTCATCAGTAGATTAAAATCTGGAAAGTAATTGTTTATAAAGAGTGGGAGGAGGGCTTTTCTTTTCATCTCATAGCCAAGATATTATTTTTTCCAGTGTTTTTCTCCTTTAAACATATTAGCTGCTGGTGGCCTTTGAAAATTAGAGGACCAGATAATGCTGGCTCTCCTTCTTTCCATCTGCTAGCCTGCATAATAAGAAAACTAATATATATATTAAATCATTATGTTAAAAAACTAATTAGTACAGATGCAAGAATCTCATGGCCATGAAGGATTTTGTGACAGAACTCTGTTAAAGCTCATCTATAAATTTGGAAATCCTTGCCTATAAAGGTCTTTCATTAGTAGCACACGCTAAACAATGATCACTGCTGTACGATGAGAGACAAATTAATGAATCAAACATTACAGATTTCATCACATTCGCTCATTTGCATTTAAGCTGGTTTCCAGCTCTGTCATGCATTTGCTTTTAAACGAGCCCCTGTGGATAGTGCTGCAATGTTTGATTCATTAATTTGTTTCTCAGTGTACAGCAGTGCTCACTGTTCAGTATACGGTGAAATACTTTGAAAATATTTGTTTTAACAACCTATCCTTTATTTTAACAAAGAAATCATAATCCTGAGGAAGGAAATGCTGGCCATTTTGCAACACAGCCCCTGCCAAATCTCCCAGTTGCTACCCCAGCCCATCGTTATACCACTGTGATATTATCTGGATTAAATCTTCACAGCTTGCTTTCACATATTCTACAATTTCATAAAGCTTTGAGCCAGCTCTTTGGGCTGGAATTACGATGCCAAATTCAGCTCCTGGGAAGTTGAAGGTGGCTTTAAGCCTTTGCTCTGCAATCCTTGGATCAGTCCCAGGCAGTGACTTAGATCAGCCTCCCGGCCGCTCGGTGACATTCTGCCACCACTGTGCCCAGTGCACCAGCTCCTCCACACTGCAGCTGAGAGGGCTGCTTGGCAAAGCCGTCTCTGGGAGAGCTGCACAACTTTGGAGTTGGTTTTTGGTTTGTAACAGCTTGAATTTGGTGACCTTACAGCACGCTGAAAGCACCATCTGTTTTAGAAGAAAAGGCAGGCAACGTGTTCCCTGGCTGGTCAGTGCACAGAGACACAGGGTGTTCTGGTAATTAGATGTGTGGCTGAGTTCTGAAGTTCTTGTCTGAACCCCAAATTTTATGTATTTGACTACAACATTGTTGTAGCAGTCATTGCTCACATTTAATTCCAAAGAAATAAATGCTAATAGGTATAGAGCCTGGCACATGGCAGCCAGGCTTTTGGCCATGTACAGAATGTGGCTCTTCTCATTTTCAGGTGGATTCACCACTCTGAATCTCCTCTTGTTGGAACACAAATCCAGTGGTCACCTCTATTTTAGATGGCAAACTTAGGTGAAATTAGATCAAACCTAAGGAAATCATGTAAGGTTTATTTAGGCAAAACAGATTGCTCATGGTGCCTGAATTTCCATCACTTGTTTCTCACTCCACACCGCAGGCTAATCTGTCAGAGCTGGGCTAGAGTTTCCTTTGAGGGGGTGCTATGAAAATCAGCATAATTCCAGTTAACTCTGCCTCACCTCTTCCCAATACTTGTATTTTCAGTTTTATTTATTCACTAAAGAAAACATTCATCAATGTGCAAACAAACTAATGGTCTTAAACTGTGAGTATGAAAGAGTCCTGCCACACTTCTCACTGATATCCTTTCCATTTAAAAAAAATTCACATATCAGTTAAGCTCACCTGTTAATTAAAAGCTTGTCTGGAAAATTCCTTGCTAGTTGGAAGCAAAAGAAAGTGTAAAAACTATCTGAATGCTGGAGCTTTGAATTTTAATTACTTACTCCAAGGTTTGTTCGTGATCCCTCAGGTGTTGGCTGGGCAACAGCAAAGAACTGGAAAAAAGAAACAAAATTATTTTGTAATTCCGGCTGTGGGGAAGAAAATGTATTGAGAAGGCTTCTAATTTTCTCTTCTTATCTTGTTTAGATTTACTCTTTATTAATGTACTTTTAAGGGAGTATCTGCACAAAAGGAAAAAGATTCTGGAAGATTACTGGCAACTACAGTGAATAATTGTCCTCTAGATTTTATATCTTTTTTTTAATAATATGAGAATTCCTATTGTGTTTGCCTCACAATGGAGAATGCAATTATAAATGAGAATAATGCTTACAAATTTGGAATAAAGGCTACAGTTTATCTCAGATCATCGATTATATATATGTATTAAATTTGATGTGCTGTTTATTTTATGTGCATCTAAATAGAAAAGACATTAGCAGTTTTAATAAAAACTTGGACACTTGTAGGAATTTCATTCCTCACTCTAGCTACCTATATAATAATAGCTGGGGTTTTGACCATTTTCTTTCCTTCCTAAATTTTTTTTTAAAAATTATCGTTTTTAACAGAGCAGAACACTTCATCTAAAGAAAGAGAGTCTGTAAACTGAACATGGAGGTAGAGGATGGTTTTTGTGCTTTTCCTCATTGAAATAATCACGCCCTGCAAAGTCACAATATTTTAGTATCATGAATTTGTTAGTGCCCCTTTAGTAAGGATAAATATCTGAAAATCTGATTTGGATCAGCAATTTTTCTGGTAGGAAAAATAATTTTGACATTTTTACAGAGGAACTTAGAGATTACATGAGGTTTCTGATGAATCTTTACACAGGAAAAATTTGGCCACCTGAGTCAGATGAAGATTTACACAAGTTCTCCAAGCAATGGGATGAGGCTTGCATTTTGTTCTCAACACACACACAGCATACATACATCTGTTAAAAAGATTCAGTCAACACTTAAACTACTACTCTTGCAAATGGACTTGCAGGCAACTGGATGACAATAGAAAATTAAATTCAAGTAACTCTGCTCATGATAACTCAGTTTTCTTCCTCAACACACTTAAGAAATACAAATTGAAAAAAAGGTAAAAAAAGAACATAAATAGTAAACAGTATATATATGAGCCAAATCCATATTTATTGAGTGGAAATACTAAGCAAAAGCTGAACACATGTGAGTTCAGTAATTTTTGTCTGGTACAGGTTGTAGGACAGTAAAGAATGAGATGCTGCCTCAGAGTGCATTTAAGGGACTTGTAATGTTAAACAGCCTGGATTTCTCTTGCATTAAGTTCATGATGGAGGTTCCCTCATCAAATGAACAAGACTTCATGAACTGTGACTGCACCAGTCATTTTTGGCTATTACACTCAGCTGAGTGCTGCTGGTTTAGCAGTATATGTTCAGTCATATATTCAAGCAGAGACTTTTGCTCACTGTGTTCAGCTAAAAATTCTGAATATTGTGCAAGTCAGTAATTTTAGTAGCCTTAAATGAATTAATATATGGAAGTAAATTGGGGGTGGATGAAGAATAAACCATGAGAAATTCGGTCACAGTTTAAGAAAGGAAGAAAGGAAAGGTAAAAAAACCTGAAAAGCAAGCAGGTGTATATTTTCCATTTTTTTTTTGGTAGCTAAATGTTTGATACCTAATTTTCAAATGGAGATAATCTAAGATGTTGAAAATAACTTTTAGAATATTTTTCTAAAATATTTTTCTTTTTTACATCTAAACAGCACATTTATTATTCTCTACATTTCCAAGTGTCTCTAAAAGTTGTGGGGTTTTTTAAGAGCAACGAGAAGTTTGTATTCATACATTCATGCTCACTTTTTTTTTTATTTTTACTTATTGACATCCAAAATGAATTCTGATATTTTTTCATACTGCTGTTAATTTCTGCTGCTTGGGGAGTGACTCTTCCTTTATGGCAGCTATCAACAACTACTTCTCAATAGTTATGAAGCAGAATCCTATAGAAAAATGTCAAACCATGCTAAACTCCTGTATGATACTGGATGATCTGCCAGCATGCCTGATCCATTTCCAGCTATGTGCCTTGGTTAATAAATAAACAGTTCCTGTAAAACTTCTCTTTTCTCCTTCTGTCTTAACCCTCTATGTTGTTAGAAGAAATCCATATTACATTTCAGTCAGGATCTCTTCTCTTAAGAGAACATTGGTAGTGTTTTAGGTCTGAAATTTATAAATGAAGCAAAAGTTTTGCTAGTGAAGCTTTTGGCAAATTATTTTTCCATGTATTGCACAGTCTGTTATCATCCTGATCAGCACAGATTTTCTAAGTTCCAACAGCCTGGTCTCTCATGAGTGAGAAATTTCACTCCTCCAAATGAAGTGAAGGGTAATGTATGGGATTTAGCATGGAAATCATTCACTTCACTGTTGAGTGCTTTTATGGTTCTCTTCTTGGCAAATATGAAAAAAATGCATCTTTTTTTGGTAGTACGGACATGCACCAATTGAGACATGGACTACAGCTCCCAAAACATTTTCAGAAGTTGCCACTAAACTTGATGAGTGCTGGAATTAAAAAGAAAAAACACCCATCTTGATCTGCATCTGTACAACTTCTGCAAGATATCATCAACCAATTCCTGATAAATTCAAAACTGACTTGGGATTTGCTGTTATATTTAATATTATTCATTATCAGCTATAAAAATCATACTTAATATATTTTAGACAGATAAGCTGCTAGTTTAATTCCTGCATGATCTGCTTTCCTACAGTTCCGTATGGTGCAGAGGAGGGAGGTGCAGGGCTCCTCCCTCAGGACAGACCTGCCTGAGCTTGGTTTGGTGCTGGTACAGCACAGGAGACTCCCCAGCTGGTCACAGGTAGTGTGGGATCATTTCCCAGCATATTTCACACCCAGGAGAGTGTGGGATGGCACCAAAACCTGCCCTCTCCAGCACTATGCAAGGCAGCTCTTTGCCAAAGATGTTTTTTCTATCATTACTAATGAGAGGGGAAAGCAAATTCAGAACATGAGCCCACACTTTGGGCTTGCATGGGAGGTGCTTCTCCTTTTGGATGAGCACTGCCAGGATTGGCAGCCAGAGCACAGTTTTTCCTACACACATTATGACTTTTGAGCAATTTGTAAATCCCTGGTTTACACCAAAATATTATGGTGATGCCTTTTGCTAATTTCAAGCATTTATAAATGAGGATGGAATATCTTGTTAGCAGAAAAGAAAGCACAGATCAATATATCAGGGAAAGACCTGAGCAGAGCAACAATCACACTACAAATGTCAGAGCTGTGCAATTTCCACACAAATAAAACCAAGCTGCCATTGGCAAGCTTGGTTCCATTGGCAAGCTCAGTTCCAGACTCCAGGAGTCAGAGTGAGCTGTGAGCTTCTGAAAAGCAGAAACTCTTCTTTTCTCTGTAATTTGCAATTTCCCAGAAGAGAAAGAGGAAATAGAGTAGATGCAAAGTTTGTATCCTGTAATTTGTAGACCCCATGTTTTCACCTTCTGTCACCAGAGCATCACAGAGGTGTGACAGCTGACCACAGTTTGCCTTGTGATACACACAGTTGAGGCATGGGGTTGGTTCTTGCATGAAAATAAGGAGAAATGCAACTCTCAGTCTTGCAATTCAAGTGTTGTGCCACAGGATGAAAGTAAAGCTTTTTTTAAGGTAGGAAAGCCAGTTATTGGAACAAGGCTGGCTTTCAGATTTTCACACCAAAGCTATTCTTCTTGAAACCAAATCATTAGTAAACCACTTCTGCACCTCATCTACAGCTTAAGACTGACAATTCCAAATCTAATTGACCCCAGATATGTCTGTAGTTCAGTTACCACCTTATTTACCCAGCCTTCTGTCCTCCTATTCCAACCATCTATTCATGTTATCATATTAAACATCCCATTTTAGTGGGATTCCAACATTCAGTAAGAGTTACAGCCTCTGGAATCTAAAATATTAATCAGCATTTTTGAAATAGCAAGAATATATTTAATTAGAAAATCAGTGAGAGAGCTAAAAAATTAATCTGAGTAACAAATCTGGGTATTTTGAGACTTTTGAAGTTTGATAAGAATAAATGGGAGATTTTCAGAAGGACTGAGCAGTCAAGGGATTTCCCTTCTGTAACTTCTCTCCAGACCTTTAAAAATGGTCATTTTACATAATGAGAATATTTTAAAGTGTGGTCATTCAGCATTTAAATGATGAACAAACTTTTTGAAAGCAGTGCCCTGCTGTCTCTAATCACAATGTGCTGTATCTTAGGTTAACAATAATTAGAGATGACACACCTGAAATGATAACTGAACACCTTTCATAAGCCCTAAATTCATAAATTCAGTTTATGAATTCTCCCTCTCCTCCTCAATGTATTCTGTATTTTCAAAGTGAAGCATGACTATTGTTTCAGCTGCTCTGTAATCTCTCTCAGAGCCACAATGCCATGCAAGGCTGTAATCCTCTGCTGTTGTACAGGGTAACCAGAGTTTTTTGACATTTAAAATATCTAGCGGCACGACAAGCCGTTGTATTTGCATATACATAAATTGTGCCAGGGAAACTCTGTGAGTGACAAACCATCAACAGCAAGCTGCAGCATTGCCTGTGGCTTTCACATCAAGCATGGCTGAGTATAAAAATGTTACTGTGCTGAAGAAAAGCAGCCTGACCACCACAGCATCTGTTTTATATATACTCCTCTGAAAAAGAGAATTCATCCTTTAAAAACTACTGCAAAGGAGAAAACTAACTTATTGTGTTTATTTGAAGCCTCCTTGCATTGGCAATCCATTGAGGGTGAAAAAGTTTCCTTTCCAATATGATACTTGACATCAACTTGTTTGTGAGAATTTTCTTCCCCATCCATCCCTGACTATCTGCAGTGGTATCTCCTGAGGTTTCCACAGGCTGTGATGCCTGTGAAAGGTTTGTTATAGCTCCCCATGGCATCCCACCAGTGCCTCTCCCCTCACCTGGAGAAGCAGCTGAACTGTACAGCCAAACCTATGGCTAGTGAGGATTAATGTCACAGAAAAGTA